AACGCCCAAAGAAAGGTAAGTTCGGTAGGAAGTGGATAGGGCCGTATAAGGTAGTGAAGAGAATGGGGACGACCTATCGAGTTAGCTCGAATGATGGAAAAGTTATGGTAGTTCACCACGACAACCTTAAGACAGGCTATATACCACTGGATAGCGGCCGAATCGTTGCTCCTGGTCGTGAGTCGGGTGATTTCGCAGTGGTTCACGCATTGCCCGAGCACCCCGTGTTACAACCACCTCCCCGTAGGCCTAGAGGTGACCCCCAACGTTATCAACTTCGGCAAAACATACGTCCTCCCGAACGTTATGCTTACGATTAGCTAAATCGTCGACTATGTAAAAATATGTTGTTTTCGGGGACGAAAACTTAAGTGAGGGGAAAATGTAACAGTGCACCTATTGTGATGAGATAATGTGACAGTGCACTATTGTAATTAGATAAAGTAACAGTGCACTATTGTAATTAGAAATATGAGAGTCTTGAGCACATGTATATAGGGAGCACGAGGATGAAATAAAAGACACTTAGAAACTGGATCGAACGTGTGTGTGTCTCAGACAGCTCGGCCCGTTACATAAGAAGCCACCCCATATCCATGCCCTCAGTTAAACCCCTAGCCACAATTGCCTTCATGCTTATTAAGAATGCTTCCTTTTTTAGGAACAACTCACCATATTTTTTGTCATTTCAGCTACAGAGTTAGTGGGTTTTGGGTTGTTGGATATTGTGTCGTCGGTTGTGTGTTTTGTGTTGTACGTTCGTATTGTCTGCCAGTCGGTTTGCGAGTTGCCCTGTAGCTCTCGCTTTTTCCTGGCCACACAAAGAACACATTTCAGGTACTCCGTTTTAGGAGATTGGGTTCGAGTCCCATGAATGTGTCAATTTTGCTCTGATATCTAATGTGGTCCGTCTCTAATACAAAAGAACAACATCCAACAGACAATCTGCATCCTTTCACCACACCAACTACAAGTGTTGTCCACATACAACAGAATGGAACTTCCAACAGAGTAAGGAGTAACCAATACCTAAGATGAAGTTCTCGTAACTTCTCAAACAGGACAGGATGTGGCACTTGTTAATGAAGTATTCTCGATGTTTAAGGGATCCTCTCAGTTAGACGTCCGATGAGAGGATATTTCAAAGTGGTAAGCTGATTTAAACTTGTGATTACTGTGCGAATACTTCACCCATTTTGATAAATATGAGACCACTAAACTCATTGCTGTCTGCTCGTAAATAGCGCACACAGATAATTTGATTTTATCTGGAAGTATTTTATCAAATCAACTAGAAATTGTGTTATCTCAAAGAAAAAACATTTACCTATTTGTATAAATTTAGTTCATTTCAAAAGCTTTCCTATAAGCTAAGACATTTATTGCCGAACTTGTACTTTTTAAATTGAATTTTAGAGAAGCGAAAATGCGCAAAGCCTTCCAAAAATCTCGCCTAAAAACCTCCAAATATTTGTAGTATACATTGGGATCAATATTTTCATCTATTTTACTTGAAATACAGTCGCTTTGGCGATTTGTACTGATATTTCCAACAAACGTGTTTACAAATGGAAACTGGAAAATGTGCATATAAAATTCCATATCATCATATTGGCGAAAATTTGACATTTACGACTTCTAGGGACAATTTTACCCCGGAAATCGATTACAGGGCTTATTTTACCCCCACGGGGTAGGCAACCTAACATTTTTGACACCTCTAACCTCACGTGACAACCACATGTAAATGCAGCTGAGCAACGCCTCGCTATACACAATAACAAATAAAAAAAGCTATATTTTTCGAGTTTTTCTGCCTATCCTGACTTAAAAACTATCAGAAAAGATATATAAAGCCTTTACAGTTTAAATGTAACGGTTAAAAGATGACAGGATAAAAATAACGAAGAAAATAACGAAATTCCAAAGGCGAGTTATATTTCTGTTTGTAATCCCGTGTAATTTGATATGATTTTTAGAGCTGCACTGCAGTGTCAGGTTAACAGCAATATTGATTAATTTCTGGAATAAAACAGAAGCGATTGGGTTAAAGTATTTTTCTTCAGCTATATTTTGGTGGTATTTTTGTGCTATTCGCAATACTTATAATGATATGCGATGAGAAAAATAAGGTAATAACATGCAACAGGAAGCGGAAACTGGTATTACGCTGGTGACGTAGCATAGTTAGGTATAAAAGAAGTGATATATCCATAAAAAGACCTCTCTAACGGTAAGTTCCAGTGAACGAACAAGCCGGTTGCAATCGCCCTCCCTCCCGCCCATAAATTCGTGCGATTCTTTCACGTCTGCTGAATGACCTTGCCTTATATGGTCAGTAGAATCAATATTTTTCCCATACCTTATAACTACAGAGCATATAAGACAAGCAGTGTAGAATAGAATACTTTTTAAATTAAACGGATTAATTTAAACATTAAAAAACCAAGATAATTTCATGATATCTGGTGATGGAAGGCATGACGAGAATTATGCCTACACAATATTTTGCTGTACAGTTCCATATGTCATTCATTTTACACTGGTGTTATTAAAAATAGATTTATTTTTCTCCCTTTCCTATTATGTAATTGCCACTTACCAATATACAGGGGTTGGGGGTATTATGTGAATATGAAAGAAAACAGCTTGTATTTTGTTCTGTATATTCTTTTCGTTATAGAAGTCACAAAATACATGCCGTTACTATACAGTATAGGGCCTTGTGATTCATATACAATTATAGTTTCAATTGTGTGAAAGAGATGTTCTTGTAATCTCAATTGTAGATTCTATTGCATATAGAGCCGAATTAGTATGGCAACATATCTGTGAGAATTGAAGTTTATGGCGGTTCTTCAGGTATGTTCTAGCAATTCACTAAAGTACTATTTGTTCGCTAAGGAATGTTGTCCCACGGTAGCGGTACGCACGAACCTGGGATATCACAATGCTGATAGCCTCACAACTATGGACAATAATGTATTAATTTACATGTTCCTTGTTTCTCAATTTTAGATCAAATAAATTATGGCAACCCAGGAGTCGCTAACAATTATTACCTTTCTCTTATCACTGACTACACCTCCATCCATCGCTAGCCATACATGGATTTGATGGACTGACATACCAAGCAAGGTAAATATTGCAGGCTACATGGTATATGTTCAGTTTAGTATTATGTCATATTAGGACGACTGTTGGACATTATTTTTTTATTCAGTAATTTCCCTATATGGGAATGTGATAAAATTCGAAGTTAACCCCCAGTAAAGATTTCACAAAATCAATTGAAATAACGCTGTACCTCGACTGGTTTCAATTCTGGAGGCCCCATATTTGGCACAATTATCTGCATTATCGTTTCATTTTTGTTGATGATTGTTTCGATGGTGTTTTGGTGCCGGAAGATAGAATAATTGATACTAATTATTGCCCCCCGTACTGAAGACACATAACATCCCAGATTTTAGCAACAAATGCTGGGAATGCGGATAAGTCGACAGGACATGGTCGCTTAAATGAGGCAGCTTCCTGATCTGCACGGAAAAATTACCAGGACCAATGCATTCAAATTGACTTCGGCAAGAAAGGTGTTGTCGGAGCGATTTCACTCAAAGTCGCCGTAATTATAATTAGTGGGTGAAGACCTACTCTGTATCCTATAGTTCCGACGGGCAAAAATTCGCTCATTACAAAATAAATGGATTAGTCAGGGTTATCTGGATTATTAAGCAAGGCTCCTACAGACTACCCTCTCACCTTGTGTGCATCACATCATTTCCATGCGGTCATATATAGCTTTTAATGTGTGATTAAGATTAATTGCTTATCAAATTACTCATTTCATTATAGACTCACTAGTGGAAAATGTCCTATCACCAACTGTAACCGCGCTTTACATCCGCATTCATCAAAAGACATGGTACGCAACATATCTTTGAGAATTGAAGTTTATAGCTGTTCTTCAGGTATGTTCTAGCAATTCACTGAAATACTTTTTGTTCAGTAAGGAATGAGAAATGACTGAGAGATCCATCTGACTGAAATATATAGCGAAAATATTTCAATAAGTGGGTTATGTAAGAGTGAGTTTTTGATTTAGAAATAAATTGTTTACACCATGAATTTTTTTTCTATTTTTCAATTCTTACCCCTCCAGCGGGTTTGTCATGATTTTTACTAACTTACGTGCATTGGAATACATGTAAAAATAAGGCGTGTTTTAATTAGAAGTTATACCTGGACGGGGAATCCAGCATATAATTATGAGGAACAAAGCTATTTTAGCGGTATATACTCAGGGCTATCACAATCAAGTTTAGTGTTATCGCTTGATTTTAATGTTTGCTGCACCGTCGGATTCTCACAATTAAAAGAAAATCAAGCGAAAAGTTTCACACGTACAAAAGTATAGGTATGGAACTGTTCTTTAATTTATCGGAAGAACTAGCGCGTTTTTAACCTACCATATGAGTATGCACCCAATGAGGATGCATATTCCTTCGATGTGATCTTACATGAAGCATTTTCCGTCATGCTATGCAAATTTTATGTTATTATCATATTAATTTCTTTAGAAATTCATTGTTTTCACAGTGAAAGAACTCCAAAATATTAGCAGAGCATGACTAAATTGTCGTGTTGGCTACGCCACTTAGTATTTTATTTGCTCGCAGAGACTCGTCTGTCGAACGTGACCGTCGGCTAGTCTTCACCATGTGCGCAAAAAACGTTCGCAGAATGCGCTCTGCTTTCGTGAAACGAAATCACGGACAAAACTCGGAATTGAGATTAAGTTCAATACACAACTGACACAAACCTTTATAAGAGTTTCGTCATCCGAGGAACACAATAAAACATTTTCTGGCTAGAGAAGAAAAAGTTAAATTATGGTCGTTAAAGATTAGGATATAAAGACAGTAGTGATAAATAAATAAATGCGCGCTTACCTTCCAATCCCTGTGGGTGATGCCATTTTCATGTAAGTGCTAAAAATACGAAACAGTATGAATAAAGTTAGTTTAGTTCAGGCTCCTGTAGTAACACTGGATCAATAACAGATGATCCTTAGCTTGGTATCATTAAAAGCGCCAATCTCTTCCTGACATTTTCCATAAACTTTAGTCATCGCCTGTGAATAAAATATTCCAGCTTGTTTCATTCATTCTTCGAAGTTACACATGGCTAGGCTCTCACTAAACGACATCCTCACCTGAAGGCACATTGCTTTCATAGTTGGTTTAGTTGTCAACAGGAATCTGTGGTACAGATCGTTAAACAACTCGAGCCTGAAAACAAAATAGAAAAGTCGATCGATTCGTGAATTGTTTCATCCATGATTCTATACTTCTCTACTACATACTGCAGGACAAATAATATTGTGTGAACTGTGCAGCAATTTAGAGAATAGGACGCTGAGGTATATTATATATTAGGTATCTGGAATCTTTTTTATGCAGCGGGAAGCAAGACAGTAGTTTGAATATTTTTAAATCCTGATAGATAAATGTCGTGGACTCACACATTTGTTATCGGCGTCTCCCCGTCGTTTTGTTCCAACAAGGCTCTCAAATAATAGTCGCCTGATAAAAGAGATACGTTACTGAGTTTGATTGCTGTCGAGGGATAGGGGGGGAGACGCTTTAAGAAGAACTGTTAAAAAGCTAGAGCAGTATAAGGATTATTATTAACCTATTTTCAGTTGCTCAGCTAAACATTCATACAGGACTTCAAACTAAAGGTGATTCCAAAAAACAACGTAGTTTCCACTCAGATCTTTTTCCATTGCAATTGCGCGCATCTCAGATTCGAGAGCCCCAGAAGTTCCTCTCGCGTCTGTCACATTGAAAACAAAAGAAATTGTTTCAAACTCTTTTACGAGAACAGTTTAGAGAAAGAGGTCAGGACTATTGAATTTGTCTTGTTATACTCATAGCAACAGGAAATCCTCCATTACATTTTCATTTCCTATATTTTCAACGGAAACTAACTTTAACTTCGAGACTCACCTTGTAATTCCAAATCAGGTTGTACGCTGTCAGATCTTGACCTAATCTGTAAAAAAGATCCGTTTAAATACCATTGCTTTTTCATCTTTTAAACGACTAGAACATTTTCCCATTTTCTTAATATGAACACTTACTTGTAATAAAACAACTAGATTTAAATTTTCACATCTATCCTGGATTTTGAATCACTAATTCGCACCTGTTCAGTAGCGAACGTCTATCAGTGCTTTGCGTAATCATGGCTATGGGTAAGCGTTTTGGTAGAGCGCCCTCGGCAACCGCCAGATCTTGTATTTTTGCCGCGGATTCTTCATCAGCTGGCTAAAGAGAAGTTCTAAATAGATATCAACAGATGATTTTAGGCACTTCACACGATGCAGGAATTTTCTAGAGGTTTTAAAGGGTCTTAATTTCTAGTGGTATTATACACACTTCAAATTCAAGCCAAGAACAGTTGATGGAAAAATGAGTCAACTATATACGTAGGAACTCAAAGATAAAACAAGAATTTACAGTTCCGGAAACACCGCAGCAAAATGGAGTCGCAGAGCGCTTCAATCGTACCATAGTAGAAATGGGACGGTGCTTACTTATACAAGCAAAACTACCTAAGAAATATTGGGTACGAGCGTTGGACACTGCTACACACATCCGAAACCTTACCGTGAGTGCAAACAGCAACGAAGGAAAAAGTCCTTTCGAATTATTCACAGGGAAAACGGCTAGAAGAAATCACCTTAGAGTATTTGGTTGCACAGCCTATGTAAAGAAAAGAAATGTGAACATACGAAAGCTCGATTCCAGATCAGTGAAAGCAAAGTTTATTGGCTACGACAGCAACAGCACAGCCTACATACTACAAGAGCTCGCAACAAAGAAAATAATCAAAGCACGAAATGTTATCTTCAAAGAGGACGAAATCCAACCATTATCATCTGTAGAAGAATCCTATCAAGGAGACCCAATTCTAGAGAACCGAATCCTAGATCTTGCGGACAAACTTTCTAATGATCAAAACAACGAAAACCCCGTCGGAGATGAAGTGGGGGAAATTGGAGATGAAGTGGGGGATACCGAAAATATTAATGATGTTCCAAATGCACCAGAGCAACAGCAAAATGAAGATGCTGAAGTAGAAGAATCACTACGCAGAGAAGATAGAAACAGAAGACCTCCTGAAAGATATGGTCATCCATACACCTTTAATGCGACACAAGAAGAAGACACTGTCACCGAACCTAAAACCTATGAAGAAGCTGTAAAATCAACCAAAGCCAAGTACTGGAAACAAGCAATGCAAGCAGAAGTCGAGTCACTAGAAAACAATAACACTTGGACATTTATTGAGAGACCAAAAGACAAGAACGTATTACCTGGAAAATGGGTATACAAAGTTAAATACGGTGCAAATGGAGAAGTAGACAAGTACAAAGCTAGATACGTGGCGAAAGGTTTCGCACAAGTCGAAGGCTTAGACTTTTTCGAAACGTATGCACCTACATGCAAACCAGAAACATTCAGAACTCTGTTAGCAGTCGCAACACAGAAAGATTTACACCTCGGACAAATGGATGTAAAATCAGCATATCTTCACTCAGCTATTGAAGAAGAAATTTACCTCGAACAGCCCCAAGGTTTTGCTACAAATGGAGAAAACGGACAGAACTTAGTGTGTAAACTAAACAAGTCGATTTACGGTCTTAAGCAAGCAGCGAAAAACTGGTATGAATCCCTAGCAAATCTACTAATCGAGAAAGGATTTCAAAGAAGTCGCAATGATTACTGTCTCTTCGTGAAAAAAGAAGAAAATGGAACATTTTCATACATAGTCTTATGGGTCGACGATATTATAACCGCAGCCGAACGAAATGTTGTAGACAGAGTCAAAGTGCTACTAGAAGAAAACTTCAAAATGGATGATCGCGGAGAACTACATTGGTTCCTTGGAATGCGAATTATCAAGTCTGAAGACAAGATCACAGTAGATCAAGAGAAGTACATCGAAAACCTCCTGAAACAGTTCAATATGAGTGACTGCAAACCCAAAGCAACTCCCGGAGAAGTCAACCTGAAGTTAGTAAAGAACAACGGAGAACACGAGCTAGTCGATACAAAGTTATACCGAAGTCTAGTCGGATCACTTCTGTACATCGGAAAACAGACAAGACCGGACATACTCAACGTAGTTAATCAATTATCACGATTCCTTGACAAACCCGATACAACGCACTGGAAAGCAGCAAAACACGTCTTAAGATACCTCAAAGGCACTATTAAGTTACGATTAACATTTGTCAAGAATTCCAGCATGAACCTTATCGGCGATTCAGACGCAGACTGGAGTGGCGACTTAGACGATCGAAAGTCCACAACCGGTTACTATTTCAAATTTGAAGGAAGTGGCGCAGCAATAAGTTGGGAAGTAAAGAAGCAAGCTACAGTAGCACTATCGTCTACAGAAGCTGAATACCAAGCAATGGGAGCCGCAGTACAAGAATCAATCTATCTCAGAGCATTAATGAAAGATTTTGGTTATCCTATGAAAGATCCAACCTACATTGGAGAAGATAATCAGTCATGTATCAAGATGTGCCACAACCCTGTTATGCACAAGCGATCGAAGCACATCGACACAAAGTTTCATTTCATCAGAGAAAAAGTCAAGAGCAAAGAAGTTGCAATTCATTATGTTCCTACAGAAGATATGACAGCGGACATATTAACTAAATCACTACCCCGGATTAAGGTTGAGAAACATCGTTATGTTTTACTAGGCAACTAAATAAGAACACTGAAGAAAGCAGACTCATCATAGACACTGCCGAGTCTGAGTGGGGGTGTTGACATATGTATATATATAAGAGTATATTAGAACAAACATTGATATTGAGGGATATAGATAATTACGGACACGTGACCGAAAAACGTTTGAGAAGCGTTGACAATATGTCGTCTTTGTTTTGAACACATGTTTGTATATATTAAGAGAAATAAACCATTAAAGTTAACAAGGTATATAATACAATTGTCTATTTCACAATATATCTTTTTGCACGTCTTTAGGTAGTTTACGCCAAGAGAAATTAGATCTTACATCTCAATTGGGAAAATGTGAAGCAACTATCGTTCGTTATCAAGGTTTACTTCATCATTCTTTAGAAGAGGTGAGTCTTCTTCTCTAAATGGCTATAGGCTTCTGTTTCAACGCACTTGTATTTTTATACGTCATCGCTGAGAATGTTTGTGATATATGTTCTCGTATTTTTATTGTGTGTATTTATTAGCAGTAACATATGTCGTGCCGATAAATTTAGTCTATAGTGTAAATGGGTCTGTTATTCGAGTGCTACATTCCTGGATTTTAGAAAACTGTGTCGAGCATTGATGTCTGATGATCAACGCTCTTTCTCTTTTCAGGTTCGTCAGAAGCAACTAAACATTGATCAACTTCACTATCAGTTGACAATAGAGAGTCGTCCGGCCAACGAAGAAATGAATGCTTTGAAGCAGCAGAACTCTGATCTCAAGCTGCAGGTAACCCAAGCAAGACACCAGGCTGACGGATTTTATAAAACGGGTTTGGAGAGAAATATTGATACTTTATCATTAGGAAACCAGGTTAGTTCGGATGATACTGTTAAATAACTAGATCGCTTATGCAAAATGGAAATAATCCAATACATTTTGAAGCTTAAAACTATGTCGGAATGTAGAAAATATATCCAAGTTCATTTATATTTATTAATTTTGCAGTATTTTATAGTAGTTTTTCAGTTTTTGTCGAAGTTTGACATGTATGTATGTGATATATTATTGATAATTGGTGATAAAGTGACCAACCTTAGGATAAATTAATATATGCTAATCACTGAGTAGCGTTTACGCGTGCGGAACACGAGTGTTGGGCTACCTATGGTTTTACCAAAATCTTTGTATTGATTAAGAAATAACTTTCTCTTTATAATCAGTGATAACAAAATTTGTATGTCACACTCAATGATTGTGAGCGTAACACAGCCTACATGCGATAGTGTGGATAGTGAAGAATTACTGATAATTTTTGATGTTTATCTGTTTTGAGAGCGTAATGTCCGAAATTTTTGTATTCGGTGTTTATAGACAGAAAGTCGAGTTTCTGCAGAGATCGTTTATGCATGTATGGGTTAATGTTTGTCGCAGATAAACTACCCGAGGTAGAAGTATTACCAACATCTAGTCAAGAATTGAGTGACAGGCAGGGGATGATTGCTTTTTCTTATTGGAATTGGTTTTCTGCTGTTGTCAGCATTAAAATTGGATCTTGCCAGTCACGGAAAACCTTTGAATACGTACAATCTAGAAAGTCAGTTTATACAAGACCTTCGAGAGAATGGTGAGTGTACTTTCTGACGCTTTTGAAATATTATCTTTATTCGTGTTTAGAATCTTTAGAATCAAAACTGCCGTAGAACATTCTAAATCTACTGAATTAAAACGTATAGATTGTAATGTAACCCAATTAAACACTGTCGGTTGTTAGACTCCGGGCCCCAGAACACCGCTGAAAAACGTCT